AAGAATCAAGATGGATTCCTCATCAGCACCAAAAAATCATAAAACATTAATTTTCTAGCTCATTCCCATTTTGTTGTTTTTTTTTTTTGTTGCAATAGTTATAAAATTACCCAAAATATAGGCCTAGCCTATTGACTCGCAAAAATCCGAATCGGATGGCTGGGCATTTTGTTGAGAGCGCCGTTTCACGACTTCTAACTTTCACTGTTCAGAAGTCGGATTGTCCAAATGCAACGCTTGAATAAATACACACAGACATGACCATGTCGTAATGTCGGAGCTTCAGTGAAATGGATAGCATTTTTTCTCCCGAAATCACCTTTGAAGCTTGTTTGTGATACTACTGCGGTGCGCTGAATTGCATTTGACCTGCTTCAGTTAATGTTCAAAAATTCAGAACTACACGCTTTAGAACATACATGGTTCCAGTTGAAAATAAACTTTGGCAGTACTAGGCCAGAATGCTTCAAAATGGCTCAGTTTTGAAAAAAAAAACATCACTGCCGCACAGTAATCTGTCTTTTTCATGTTATCTCTCGCCCTTGCTTCATAATGGCTCAGCTGTTCTTCCTGGCACGCACTACGTTGATAATATTGTCCACACCAGGCTCACGGCAGCGCTTCATTGGAAATGATTTGCAGCTTGCTAGCGTCTGTTATGCGTGTTCCAGTGGATCTACAAGCGCCGTTAACTTTTCCTTCCCAGCAAAAGTGATCATATCTCAAGCATGTAAAACAATAAATGCTTCTAATTTATGTATAAAAGTTGTGCTTTCCCTATAAAACAGTTGTGGCGTTAGAAAAAATCAAATTGTATCACGATGAAAGATCACACGGAACCTTTCTTGTGGCCAAATATTACAAGGTCATTGAGCATTTTATATAATTTAAAACTCTTTTTGAGGCCTGACACTGTGTGCACAACTGTATGTGTCTCGAAGGAGAGAGAGCAGCGAAAAACTGGAAAAGCAAACCTCCTTCTTCTTTCCTCTTTTTCCATAAAACAATTCAAAAACTGGGGACCAAAAATAATGTTTCACAAATTAAGTTAGATTTTTCGGTCGCAAATTTTTCATGAATCTCGTGCTCATACCAGTACCACTAATGGCGATGTATACACACACACACACACACATGCATTAGGATATCGATAAATGTTACCAAATTTCCTCATGTTGATTTTTTCATTACGATTTTTGTAGCGCATTATGGAGTGTTTGCTGACACGAACAAATATAATAATATGCAACGATTGCCTCGTCACCAGCCTCACTCAGCCTCTCTCATACCTTCCATCTCGGCGTCATTCTCTGTGCAAAAATTTTACTTTTCTCTTCCCGAGCCATTTTCATTTAAGCGTGAGCATTATTTCAGTTTCAGGATTTACTGCATGAGCTCGAAAAACTGAGTAGGCGGGAATAATATCGTAAAAACAACACACTGAACGAAACCTCTTTGACTCCTAAGAGAGCTGTCGGAAAACTGTACGGTTTTTTAAAACTTTCCTGATTCATAGCTCTCTCTTTTTTATGCGTTTTTTGCAGTAATGCAATGCAAAAAACGCATATTGACGAGAGGTTGTCTGT